TTACTCCAAGCTGTATAGGCTCGAAAGCCTACTACCAATTAAGCATATTAGGTGATGTGCATCTCTGTAATGAGAAGGGGTGTGGTCTAATGACATCAACACCCTATATCAGGTGTGCATAATTATTAGGCAACTTCCTTTCCTTTGGCAAAATGGGTCAAAAGAAGGACTTGACAGGCTCAGAAAAGTAAAAAATAGTGAGATATCTTGCAGAGGGATGCAGCACTCTTAAAATTGCAAAGCTTCTGAAGCGTGATCATCGAACAATCAAGCGTTTCATTCAAAATAGTCAACAGGGTCGCAAGAAGCGTGTGGAAAAACCAAGGCGCAAAATAACTGCCCATGAACTGAGAAAAGTCAAGCGTGCAGCTGCCACGATGCCACTTGCCACCAGTTTGGCCATATTTCAGAGCTGCAACATCACTGGAGTGCCCAAAAGCACAAGGTGTGCAATACTCAGAGACATGGCCAAGGTAAGAAAGGCTGAAAGACGACCACCACTGAACAAGACACACAAGCTGAAACGTCAAGACTGGGCCAAGAAATATCTCAAGACTGATTTTTCTAAGGTTTTATGGACTGATGAAATGAGAGTGAGTCTTGATGGGCCAGATGGATGGGCCCGTGGCTGGATTGGTAAAGGGCAGAGAGCTCCAGTCCGACTCAGACGCCAGCAAGGTGGAGGTGGAGTACTGGTTTGGGCTGGTATCATCAAAGATGAGCTTGTGGGGCCTTTTCGGGTTGAGGATGGAGTCAAGCTCAACTCCCAGTCCTACTGCCAGTTCCTGGAAGACACCTTCTTCAAGCAGTGGTACAGGAAGAAGTCTGCATCCTTCAAGAAAAACATGATTTTCATGCAGGACAATGCTCCATCACACGCGTCCAAGTACTCCACAGCGTGGCTGGCAAGAAAGGGTATAAAAGAAGAAAATCTAATGACATGGCCTCCTTGTTCACCTGATCTGAACCCCATTGAGAACCTGTGGTCCATCATCAAATGTGAGATTTACAAGGAGGGAAAACAGTACACCTCTCTGAACAGTGTCTGGGAGGCTGTGGTTGCTGCTGCACGCAATGTTGATGGTGAACAGATCAAAACACTGACAGAATCCATGGATGGCAGGCTTTTGAGTGTCCTTGCAAAGAAAGGTGGCTATATTGGTCACTGATTTGTTTTTGTTTTGTTTTTGAATGTCAGAAATGTATATTTGTGAATGTTGAGATGTTATATTGGTTTCACTGGTAATAATAAATAATTGAAATGGGTATATATTTGTTTTTTTTAAGTTGCCTAATAATTATGCACAGTAATAGTCACCTGCACACACAGATATCCCCCTAACATAGCTAAAACTAAAAACAAACTAAAAACTACTTCCAAAAATATTCAGCTTTGATATTAATGAGTTTTTTGGGTTCATTGAGAACATGGTTGTTGTTCAATAATAAAATTAATCCTCAAAAATACAACTTGCCTAATAATTCTGCACTCCCTGTACTTGTGTATTTCTGGATACCCTAACTCGGCTTTTGTCTCTCGTATTAGTGTATTTCTGGCTTTCCTTGACCTTGGCTCTTTCTGACTTTCCTTAAATTATATTCTATTTTCCAGTCATTCGGTTTAGGGACTTTCTATCTGTCTCCATTTATTCTGGTGGGTTTTCACTCTGCGTGTTGGATTGTACGTTACAGCACTAGGATCGCTACAAAAGCAAAGTGCTAAATGGCCAACATGGAAGACAGGGTCAGGGCACAAAATCTGGGAATCCGTGGAGAACCAGAAACGATCTCAGGTGTTCAACTCCCCCACTACTGCTGGAGGCTTATTGCCACTTTACCGACACCCAAGCAAGCCAAACAACTGATGGTTGACTCCTGCTTTCGACTCACCAGGGCTACCAAAGCAGCGTTCTCAGGGACATTTTGTTTATCCAACTATTGCTTTTTTGTGTCTCTCCTTAACTCTACACCTAATTTCTGTCTCTCTTTTCCTCAATTATCCCCTTATTCCCCTCTGCCCCATGTCATTTAAATTTACACAGTGTAGGATTTTAGTAAGGTAGATCTTCTAGATGTTTCTCTACCCATTCTATAAATATAGCTCCAGGCTTCTATGTGAGCAGTTACTAGGTGAGTGGAGAGAGGGTAAGCACCAGGTTCAACATTAACTCATATCCCTGACCTTACCTCACTTATGCTGCTACTTGGAGACTAGATCTGCAATAACAAATTGTTCAGGAAATAGGGCATTGGTGCAATAATTATTTTGCCACCCCCACCCTGCCCTCCCCCCCCCATTAGCAAAGGAGGCCTAAAGGTAAATTGCCATCTGCCGTACAATTTCCACAATACTTTGCCCATCCTTGCACGGTTGTGAGCAGTGTTTGTTTGTTTAAATGTAAGCATGTTTTTGTATGGAGTATGTGTGAGTGAATGTAAGGGCGTGTTTGTATGTAGTGTTGACATTTGAATGCAGGGATGTATTTGTTTGTAGTGTTAGCAAGATGCTTAGAGTATGTACATACAGTGGCGTACTAAGGGGGGGGCGGAGGGGGCGGTTCGCCCCGGGTGCCACCAGTGTGGGGGGTGCCATGACCAGGGGCGCCGCCCCCCCCCATGCTGCAGCCGCCCGAGCGCTCTGTTGAGAGCCTCAGGTGGCTGCAGCTTTGCCCGGGCGGTGCGTCCATGAGGGCGGACCGCACCGCCTAGGTGCAGCATGAGGAGAGGGGCTGACAGGAGGGAAGTGCTCAGCGCTCCCTCCTGTCACTCCCTCCCTGTAGCATGCCCGAGCCCTCTATTGGTCCGCGGGTACAGGGAGCATCTATCTCCTGTACCCGGCCGGACTAACAGGAAGACAGATGCTCCTTGTACCCGCGGACTATACTGGGCTCTGCCACGCTACAGGGAGGTAGGGGGGCAGGGGAGAAAGAGAAATTGGGGGGAGATTGAGAAATTGGGAGGGAGAAAGAGAAATTGGGAGGGAGGTAGAGAAATTGGGGGAGGTTGAGAAATTGGGAGGGGAGAAAGGAGGGATGAGAGTGGGAGGAGAGGAGGGGAGGGAGATTGAGAAATTGGGAGGGGGAGATTGAGAAATTGGGAGGGAGATTGAGAAATTGGGAGGAGGAGGGGGGGGAGATTGAGAAATTGGGAGGAGGAGGGGGGGAGATTGAGAATTTTGGGAGGAAATTGGGAGGAGGAGGGGGGGGAAGATTGACATTCATCACATACACACAATGCATTACACACACAGACACACATACACAAGCAATGCAACCGTTACACACAATGCATCCCTTACACACATTATGCATACACAGAAACACACCTTGCAGCCCTTACACATACAAACACAATTTCACACAATGCATTCCTTACACACATATCAGGACATCCCCTACACACTCCACCCCCTGTGAACAAACTCATTGGTGGAACATGAAGGTGGACCCTGGGACCCAGACCTTGAGCTGTGTAAAGGACCCCAAAAAAATGGAGCTGCTTCCCGTTCTCCCAGAACATTGATTTTTGTGACCACAGTTACAAACCGCCTCCAGAGAGCCTGTTCTGCACCAGACCAGTGGAGCCAGACTGCAGCTAGAGCCCATCATCATCCTCATCTGGTTGTAAGTAGGCAATCTAGTATATTATTCGTGGCACTAAGCTCTAATTTACCTCACATTAAAGAAACACTATAGTCCCCAGAACCACTTCAGCTTAATGTAGTGGTTCTGGTGTCTATAGCCTGTCCCTACAGGCCTTTTAATGTAAACACGGCGGCACTGGTCCTGGCTGGAGGGGGCTGTGTGAGCTGTGGCCGCACAGTGCCCCATGGTAGTTAGGGTGCCGTGCGGCCAGTACAGCTCACACAAGCAAACAGCTGATAAACTGGGTGCACGGAGGAAATGTGTATGTGTGACTGTCTGCCTGTGACTGTGTGTGACTGTCTGCCTGTAACTGAGTGTGTGACTGTCTGTCTGTAACTGAGTGTGTGGGGCTGCAGGGATTTTGTAGAAGGGGGCAGGGGTTTTGTATTGGGACAGGAGTCTTTATAAGGGGGGATAAGCAGGGGATTTGTGGAAGGGGGTTGCGGGGGTTTTGTAGACGGGCAGTACAGGATTTGTAGAAGGGGCAGGACAGAGGTTTTGTAGGAGGGGCGGGGCAGGACAAGGGTTTTGTAGGAGGGGCTGACAGCGGTTTTGCAAAGTTTATAAATTGTAAAAAAAAAAAGAAAGAAAACCTTTAACATTTTTTACAGGTTTTTTCTAGGTACGCCCCTGTGTACATATACACATATGCACACACTGACGCTCATGCAGATATATAGACACAGAGATACACACTGACACACAGACAGATACACAGGCACACAGGTACAAACTGAATAAAACAACATGACATGCTTAAAAGTGTAATGCAAAGTTATTCCAGATACTTTTTTAATTGTCATTTTTGTTTTTGTTATACTGCTTTGGTGTTATGCAATCATTTCACATGTTATTGCCACGTAACAACAGATATTTTTTTTAACACTCTTTGACTTCTGAATGCCTTATTTGGTACGCTAAAAGTCCTTTTAATGGCTTCCTTCACTTCCTTGTTTCTTAGGCTATAGATAACTGGGTTGAGCAGTGGAGTAAGAGCTGAGTAGAAGACAGACACCACCTTGTCCACATGAAAAGAGATCATAGCTGATGGTCTCATGTACATGAACATAACTGTTCCATAGTAAATAAAAACCACCAGTAAATGTGAGGAGCAAGTAGCAAATGCATTGCGGAGTCCAGATGATGAAGAGGAAGTAAGAACAGTTAATAAGATATGCACATAGGATATTATGATGACGGTGAAGCAGCCTATCATCACTACACCAGCTAGAAGGAAGAAAATAATCTCACTCATTGTTGCACCATAACATGCAATTTTGACCAGTGGTGAAAAATCACAGAAGACATGGTCAATCTCATGTAGTCCACAAAAGGACAATCTGCTTACTGGGATGATGACAATCATCATGGCAATCACACTGACCATCCATGCTCCAGCTGCCAGTAACTGGCACAATGTCTCACTCATGATGATCAGGTATCGCAGGGGGTAACAAATGGCAATATAGCGATCGAAAGACATAATAACCAAGAGAAAGTTCTCAGTGGAACCAAATAAAAAAAAGAAGTAGAACTGTACCAGACAACCTGTAGAAGATATAGTCTTTCTAAGACTAAGAAAATCCGCAAGCATTTTTGGGACAGTAACAGAGATATACCAGATCTCAAGGAATGAAAAATTGCTAAGAAAGAAATACATAGGCTTGTGGAGTCGCCTATCACTCCGCACAATGAAGATGATAAGCATGTTGGCAGTGATTGAGAGGAGGTACACAAAGAGAAACAAGACAAAAATGGCAACTTGATCATGGTATTCAAGAGGAAACCCACGAAGGATGAACCAAGATGTCATGGTGATATTCTGTATATCCATTGGATCTACACAAGGAAAACCTAGAAGAAAGTGCATAGACAAATAGGAATGTATAGAATGATAATATCCTATAAGAGTCATTTCATTGATTAAATAAAAATATCTGCTGTAAGGCTCTCTGATATTAGGTCAATGTACAATATTTGTTCACTTTCATGTGTTAAATATATTAATTTCCATTTCAACATGAGCAGAAAGTTGAAGAGACATAGGGACAAGATACAAAAATGAGAAGAGCAGTCGTTGGCATCATTTTATTACACTAGTGGAACAGGTGGGATGTAAGTTGTGTACATAAAATTTCATGCTTTTACCACGAGTTTGATATTAAAGTCAAAGATATTTGATATGAGTCATGTAAAATTAAATATTATGCATTATGGTTACATTTATTTCCTAGATTCAAGACTACTGTTATTTTACATTTATTTCAAGACTACTATTATGTTAGACATATATAACACAGAATTAGTAATGTGGACAGCATTCTTTAAAGTGGCTCTGTGTGAATAGTTTGGTGTGCGGCAGCCAAAGGGAAAAGTGGATAGGACATATACTTACCTGTGTTTTCCCTTGGTAGCACCTTGTTGGAGACCTTCTTCAGTTCCTGACAATTCATCCATCAGTAGCCAGTGGCATACACATAACCCATGGGGCCCCCGGTGCAAAACTGATCCATGGGCCCCTCCCTCCCTCTTCCCTCCTCTAATTCCCCCCCCCACAGATACACACACACACACACATACAGAGACACACACACAAATGGAAACACACTCACAGACATACAGACACATACACACGACACATACATACAAACAGACAGACAGGCACACATACATACAGACAAGACCATGGGCGTCCGCTGGGGGGGGGGCCCCAACCTGGATTTTTCAGCTTGTTCTGCTATTTTTCGTGTGAGATTTAGAATGAACTGCAATACCGGCGCTAGGATAGGAAGCTACATCTTATCCCTGCTTCTCTGCTGATTGAAACCGCAGGGGAGCAACACAGGCAGCCAGAGAGAGCCTACAGATCAGGTAAGTGGGGGGAGGGTTTGAGATAGCCTATAGATTTTGGGGGGGGGGCAGCAGCCTATAGATTTGGGCAGCAGCCTATAGATTTTGGGGCAGCAGCCTATAGATTTGGGAGTGAGGGCAGCAGCCTATAGATTTAAAGCAGCAGCCTATAGATTTTGGGGCAGCAGCCTATAGATTTGGGTGGGGCAGCAGCCTATAGATTTGGGGGGGGCAGCAGCCTATAGATTTGGGGGGCGGCAGCAGCAGCCTATAGATTAGGGGAGTGAGGCATGGGGGGGCAGCCTATAGATTAGGGAAGTGAGCATAGGCATTACTGAGCATAGGCATTACTGAGGGTCAGGAAGCACAGAGTGCCGTTGGGTAGGGGTGTTGCTGATTGGCTAGAGCGGTCAGCTGGCACTCTAAGCCAATCAGTAGCTCCCCATTCATAAAAAAGTAAAAATATTTTATGAACCGGGAACTAGCGATTGGCTTAGAGCGTCAACTGTCCACTCTAGCCAATCAGTGGCACCCATGCCTGACGTCAATCTGCACTTCCTGACACTCTGTTTTCATCAGGTTGATGGTAGTCAGAATTCCCACTCTGACTCCCTGTTCTTCCTCCCGCGTGGTCTGTGTGTGTTTGTTAACTGGGAGGAGTGAAGTGCAATCACAGCACTGACCGGGCCACCTGACAATCCATCTCCATCGGGTGGCCCTGACAGCACGGGCCACCCGATGGGCACCTTAACTTGCGGCCCCGGCGGTTTGACGCGCGGGCCGGGGGCCGCAAATGACAATGACGGGCACCCGGTCGTAGGGGTCTGCATGGCGGCCGTGCCCCCTGGAGTGCCGGGCCCGGACGCAGCTGAGACCCCTGCGACTGCGGTATGTACGCCAGTGTCAGAAGCCCTCACCACTGTTGTACTCTTATGCATCCAGTCAGACACAACACATAGGTCTATTGAAGATTTATTTTTCCCATAGAAATTGCTAGCAATGGCTGACGGGAAATGAAAACATTGGTGACAGAAGCTCAGCCTTTGGTCAACTTTTGTTAACCTTGGTTTTGCCCATAAAACAAAGTAGTCCCTACTTGCCTAATGATATTTTTTGATTATGTTTTCAATGAAACATGAGTAGTTTAAAAAGGTTCTATCTTTATGAAATAGTCAAAGATGACAGAGCCACTTTAAAAGGTGTAAATATATTGGTATAACTATCTGGAGAAACTCATCCATAAAATTACTTTCAGAGAATTTAATAATAAAAGACTGACAGGAAATAGAATAAAGTTATGTAGCACATCTAAAAAGATCCTGTGCTAATATGCTATATTATCTAGTATATATATATCTGTCTCTGCAAATTTTTACATATTATTTAACTGTCACATTGCATTACATCACTTCCCCTTCTCTGTCCCCATCTATCGTTCATGAAGGCCCCATTCGATGCTCATTGGCCATTTTCTCTCTAACCAAAGCCGATATCGTATCACCTTCCCCACTGGCTGTTGTGTGATTTGAAAGCCATTGGAACCAATGGAACCAGGTCTTCAGATAAGGCTGGTTCCTATCCATTGGCTAGAGGATCAGCTCTAATGCCTCTGATTTCTCTGACTCTGGTAATCCATTCCTTGACTGATGGCGAAGAGGTCCTCTCTCAGAATGTCGGTATAAGACTCCGAGCCGCATTTACCACTTGTGGCAGAATCGATTTTTTTGTAGGTAGTCGTTGACAGAGCAGTGATATGTAGCAAACATCTTTGGGGGTAAGATCTATGAAGTTGTCTGTGAGCATAGATATTATGCGGTGTACATCTCTCCAAAAGAGTTGGATTAGAGGGCAGGACCACCATATGTGGAACAGCGTTCCCAATTAACTTTTGCACCTCCAGCATTAAGGTGGGCATGTATCATATATGGAGGTCAGTTTCTCCGGTTTCTTGTACCAACTGGAGACCATTTTTTTATTTTTATTTATTATATTTTTATTGATTTTCAAGTTTCATAACAGTAATTATGTATACATTAATTACATCCGAAGCCACAACAGCGTGGCTTTAACAAGCAATGTTGCATAACATTTACAATAGATATTGATAATCATTATACAGATGATGACATATATTGAGTTTTGGACAAGCATTATACAGTTAATGATGAATATTGGATAGGATATGTTTCTACTAAATATGAAGTGTGAATGGTGCTACATCTTCGTGCCCTTTAAGAGTTGTACTTATGACAATTTGAGTATTCCCCCGTATCTGGTGCTGTTATTTGTGCTGTTGCCTAAATCTTACTTCTCCTTCTGCCCCTTCTAGGTATATCGACCAAGGTTTCCATGTTTGCGTGAAGGTTATGTAGTTTTTTGATAAGGCGTATGTTATACCTTCCACCTGTCTAATACTTTCTACCCTGTTGGTCCATTCCCTAATAGAAGGGATCTTTTCCTGTTTCCAGTATACTGGAATTAGGTGGTTTGCTGCCATGAGCAGTTAGGATGTCAAATAATTTTCCTTTTTAGTGAGATTTTGGAGAGGCATCATAAATATTAGGTGTTCCGGTGTGAAGGGTATCTGTTTGTGCATAATAATCTGTGTGAGTTTGTGTATGCGGGTCCAAAACTTTTTGATTGTAGGACATTGCCACCAGATATGTGTTGGATTAGCCTCCCCCTGCCCGCATCTCCAGCAAATATTTTGTGTTCCTGGGAACATTTTGCTTAGTTTGGAAGGCGTGTAGTGCCAGCGGGTTAGGCGTTTATAGTTACTTTCCTGGTTGGAAGTTGCAATGGATATTTTGTGGGTTCTGGTGAAAATGTGTTTCCACTGCTCCCCTGAAATGTCTAAATTCATTTCTCTAGTCCACTTGGTGGCGAAACCAGGAATGTCAGTTTTGTCTGAGTGTAACAGTAATTTGTACATTGTAGATAACAATTTCTTTTTTAAAGGATGTGTTGTACACAGCTGTTCAAAGGTTGACAGTTCCCTGTTTCCCCCTGGCAGCAGCTTCTGGCTCCCCATGAAATGTTTCAATTGTTAATAATGTAATTGTTGCATACTTGTGGGGGGTTGGCCGAGAGTTAGATCTTGCAATGTTAGTAATGCGTTACCCTTGGTCAAGTCTTGGAGTGTTATGTTTGCGGCCCCTCGGTGAAGCTCATAAGTTCTACCTGTGATACCTGATGGCAGCAATGGGTTACGCGTAATATGGTATCGTGGCGATGGATATGGTGCTATATTTGTAGAATTAGTTACCTTCGACCATGTCTGTAGTGTAGTTAAGATTAGCGGGTGTTGTTTATGTTTGAGAAGTGCGGTGTTCAGTTTGTGCCATGGGAGTGATTCAAGGGGCGCTAGGCATTGTTCCCTCTCTATGTTCACCCACTGCTGGGAGGGTTTTTCCTTCGTCCACTCATAGATCCGAGACAAGTGCTCCGCTTTATAGTATTGTTCTATGTCAGGAATGCCCATTCCCCCATTCTCCCTTGGTTGAGTTAAGAGTTGTAGTGGTAATCTAGGTTTGGATTGTGACCAGATGAAGGATGTCAATGTACCCTTGATTATGGAGAAGAAACTAACTGGCAGCTTTATTGGGACTGTTTGTAAAATATAGAGGATGCGTGGCAATATCATCATTTTTATAATGCTTATTCTACAAAACCATCCATAGCATGGTTTATTCCAAGCCTTAAAATCTTTAGAGATGGCTTCCAGAAGTGGGGCGTAGTTTAAGTCATAGAAGTGTTTTAGTTGG